TTCCACATCCCTTTTGAATGCGTCGACAATTGGGAATTCGATCACGTGTTGGTGTAACGAGTTTCAGTCATTGATAATTCGATGGGAAAGTCGATATTCAACTGACAAGTAATTTGTTCTGAGCCTGTAAACTTTTATAGTGTTTTCCTAAATTCTCTTCTTTGGAAGACAAGAAAAATGAGAGCATATCAGAATCGAACTTATCACTCAGTAATTTAAAAAACTATGAACAAGTTGCCTCTGGTCCTTCTATATGACTATGGAAATAGGTCTAGTTTAGCCAGTCCATCGTCATATGGGACTTTGTGATTCTGGGAGTCAGCTTAGTTGCGGTTCTTCGGATCTTTTCCAACAACTCACCGTCTTTTTCTAAGGTAGGGGTTAGCTGTTTGTGTGCAATACTTGAGTTTATGACGAGTAAACATTATGCAAAGTCAAGAAGGTTTTAGCGTTGACATGGCTAAAGGCCCTCCATATTGATCATAGGGTTCTCGAACCTGAACGTGTCATAATCCCAAAGAAACTGTAGCCAACGGTTCTTGAACAGTTGCATGCAGGACATCCTGGAATAAATCGCATGAAAGCTCTAGCACGAAGTTATGTATACTGACCGCATTTAGACACTCAACTGGAGAAGCTAACCAGTTCGTGTACCAAATGCTCATTAACAACAAAAATACCGTGGAAGGCAGAGCTGCAATCATGGCCAATGCTACAGTCACTGTGGCAGTGTATACACTTTTACTTCGCTGATCGACATCATGGACAAACTTAACTTCTGGTAGTTGATGCATACAACAAGTGGCCAGAAATGTTTCTCGTGGAACATCCAATTGCGAGCTGCACATTCAAAAAACAACGTCAATTATTTCATCGTCTCGCGGTTTCATAATTGATAGTTGGCGACGATGGAATACAGTTGAATTCTAATATCTCCAGCAGAAGCTTTACTTGGCAGAAAAATAAGAGCACATTTTGATACCATTGGTCCAACACCAGATCTTGAGCCTCAACGAAACATCGATGGAGAAGTAATTCAATCAACATCATGGGGAACATAGACGACCGTTCACTGTGGGTCAAAACGTACTTGTTATTGACTATCGTGACAAACATCCTACGTGAATAGCTGGTCGAATCTCACAAAAGGAAGAAAGTGTGGTTTACGAAGTGTTAGTTGGCCCAGAAGTTTGGGTGAGTCATGCCAACCAACTGAAAGCAGCTTCAGTTGTCAGCAACGAGACCCGATGTAGAATACCTCTTGATGTTCTTCTGGACACCTTTCAAATCAAAACACCCGAAGTACGGGCCAGTCTCTGTGCAAGCAAAGAGTAGTACCACTTTTTTATTGCCTAGAAGGTGGACAAATAGAAAGCACAGAGCAGTCATACGGTTGCAGGCGAACCATAACACCAGATCCCGCGAATCTGCTCAAAGGGGAGGTGTTAGCGGGATGTAGATTGGACTAAAGCGCGTTTGGTACAGCGCTTGAGGATACTTAGAGACTCTAGAATCTTACGTAAAAATTATAAATACACTAAGTTTTATCTTATTGTGATTCCTACTTCCATCCAACCGCGTTCTGATTTGAAGACTTGTTGAGTGAAGTACTGTCCAAGAGTACTAAGCAATAAGAGTCACTGGATTGTAATAAGAGAAGTCATAACAAGAGTCTGCTAAGACCAAGTGTTGAATTCTTGTAGCAATACCTCATTCGCTTCATCGTTTGAACTTCATTAGACCAAACCGATCGACAGCTCTTATCTTTTACATTTCAAGCGGCAAATAACTAATTCGCACGTCCCATTTTCATGGGATATGTTATCAGTAACGGTAAATGGGATAGTGTTTCCAGTGAACAGAGATTCTCCTGCTCCTTTACACTTCTGGGTCGACTCTCACTAATGTGAAAGTTTCAAAATCAAGTTCCATATTGTCTGTAGACTGTGTCAGCCAAGTTTCTATGACTGCGTTAACATCCGCTTTGGTAGAGTATCTGTACATCTAGCTCGGATCGCTTGTTGAGCAAGCTACGGGCATTTATGTAACAGATCCGAAGACCATTTAAATGGTCTCGTCATGCACCCAAAGTAGCTTTAGCATAGTTCCCTGTCAAAACTTTACCACCTGATAGTTCACAATCTGAAGGTTCTTCGCTCCAGCATCTCACCTTAATTTTAGTTCTGTTTTTGGCCTCTCGTCTTTTTATACAGTCCGCGTGCGTCAGGTTTTTACGGACAAAATCTCTTGACTCCTTTAGTTTATATGTATTCTGTAGTATTAAGTCTTTTTCATTGGGAGGTTTAAATACTAATTTTAGCAGTTTGTTTTGGTTCTGTTTCAAGTCCGTTTGGATACCTAATCTACAAACCTTCAGCAAAGTGACTCCAGAGATATCTTGATTCATTAGAGGCTTAAGTGCTAGTCAGTCAGTAACAACGTAGAACTTCGTACGTATGTACATCAGTTCTGATTGCCATACCACATTAGCACAGAGATGCAGTTGCCCATTCATATCCCGTAGTGGTAGAGTAGTAAGAGTATAAGCAGTAATCGGAGAGATTAGGGTTTGAAGATGTTATTCAAGGAGTATAATACAGTGAAATAAATTTGGGAAGAGAAAAAAAGAAAAGGACATGAAGAATTCGGAAGATTAGAATTTGGGAGAACACAAAGAGTGGATGCACCTGCGCCATTGCAAACGATTTTGAGCCATGTCATTCAAGGTCTCTAACCATCGGTTGCTATCATCTCGCGGATCCCAGCCAGGTAGTCTACACCTAACAACATGGCTCAGTCGACTTGTCAGTGACTTCATGGATTTGTGCCATGTTTTGGTTTGGCCACCCCTAGATTTCTTCTAACCTACTCCTACACCATAAAACATAGCACGTCGGAGTAGTCGGTCGTTGGGCATACGTAACAAATGTCCCAGCCATCTCAACTGATGAAGTTTCACTACTTCATCAATTGACTTGCTATCCTTACCTAGTACCCGTTTCCTAACAACTGCATTACTTACTCAGTGGTCCCAGGATATACGAGCAATGCTTCGAAAACACATGTGATCGAATACTAGTAACCTACGGATATCCTCTACTCGTACCGACCATGTTTCACTGCCATAAAGTAGAACGGAACAAACTGCTGCACAGTAAACACGTCCTTTGGTTGATAGACAGATATCTCGCCTACGCCATAAATGACGCAAGTTGGCAAAAGCCAGTCGATCCTTCTGTATCCGTGCTGAGATTTCGTCACACACCAGACCACAAGGGCTGATGAAACTCCCAAGATAAGTGAAGCAGTCGACATGCTCAACTACTTCACTCCTTATCATTAGTTCGGGTGTCGATGCAACCCAATCTTGAAGTAACATTTTGCATTTCAAGGGGAAGAATCGCATGCTGAACATGCTTGCATTGTTGCTTAGAGTGGTCAGAAGACTGCATTTTGTAAGCGTCTTCACCAAATAGAACTATGTCATCAGCATATTCTAAGTCAATAAGTGAATCTCCTGGTAGAAGTTCAACCCCTGGAAATTGAACTTAAGTGTACCTTTTATTAACCCACTGTCAAGCTCAAAGCGAGTTCTAGGCCCAGAGATTTTGCCCTCCTTGACTCTATAAACGGTGACTGAGCTATCACTGTTATCAGCCTTCGATCTCCCAATTACTGTCAGGGAAACTAGCTTTTGTTCAACGACATTAGGTCGTTTCTTATTCTTGATTTGTACTCATTCATCAGTTTTCACTGGAGGAGCAGTTACAGTTGCGTTACCCACAGTTTGAGGTTTTGAACTATTGTAGATGACTTGGGTGGTCCGGCTTTTGTTTTTCCTTCTAGAAATGGACCTAACCATATGACTGGGTTTTCTAGGTGTTTCGTTACTGCTACTACTTAGAGAACAGCGCACCAAAAAACCTCCTTTCTTGAGTTTTTCCTTCTGACAGACCTCTTTGTAGCCTTTCTTCTGTCCTACGGCCTATTTAAGTCAATCATTTCTGAGATTATTTGGGACAACTTCACATCGATTCGTGTATCGAAAGAGCGATCACCATTATATCCATATCGGTTGCGCTTGTTAATATACGTTTTAGCATCGTTCACCATAGCATTGGCTTCGAATAGCAACCTCTGAGCATCCGAGCAGCATTTCTGGCATAACCACACTCATCCATTTTTACTCAACCGCTTGAAAGCCGTGGATGTTAGATTCGTGTAAACTTCATTGTTCCATCCTTTGCCTTAATCACGCTGCATGCCATTTTCAACGGGTTATCGACAGCCTGGGCGTTGGCAGTTGCCTCTTTTGTGCTGTCGAGTCATCAGTCAAAGGTATTCAAATGACCTAGAAACAAAAAAACGTTGAAACAAAAGCTGTTAACCAGAAAAAATGATCTGTTAAGTTCAAAAATGCAACAAATAAGAAAAAACTGATGTGCTCAATATAAGTGCAGATGCAAAATTACTTTTTTTCAAGAATTTAAAGCAATTAGTCCCTTTTATAAATTTCGATAGAACAATGAGAAGACGGAGTTGATCTGAAAAATGTGATGTATTTGCGCTATACATTTCGAACAATCTGGTCACACATATACTTGTCAAGGCATTTTTTATATGAAAATTAATAAAGGTCAAACAAACAAATAAAAGTACAACTAAAATAACTAAGGGGGGAGAAAGAATAAGAAATTGTCGCGTTATCCTAGGCCATAGAATGACTTAAGGATTACCAAGGTAAATTCAAGGTTACGACAAATTGTTTTTGTACACATAAGGGGGGTTTAAATTTACGAATAGCTAAGGCTTCAATAAACTTAAGAATTCGACCTTGACAATTTCTATACAACATTCTAAATGCTGTATTAATGTTAATTTTGTGCCCCGTCTCAATTATGTGTTTTGCTATCGATGAACTTGGTTTTCTACCTCCTACATTGATCGGATCATTTGACACACACTGATTTTGAAGCCATCTGGGTACATGTTCATTGACCCTTTAAGAGGACCAGAAGAATATGTACCTCTGATATGGTGGAAAAAGACGAAAAGTTACTGACTGACACTTTAATAGCAAATGGTTATCCACTCAAGTTTATTAATAGGTGCAGAAGTCAGTTAATGCCAAGACCTCTAACTTATTCAGTGCCAAAGAAAAAGGTTTACATCAATCTACCATATAGAGGCGAATCAAACAGTATTGTTTTAAGGCACAGATTGAAAGCAGCCATTGAGAATACATATTATGCTGCTCAGTTGGTAGTGATTGAAAAGTCTAAGGCCATGATTCATAATAGACCCAAACAATGCACTAATGATTACGTCACATCCCATTGTATTTACCAATTTACATGTTTGTGTGGACACACATACATAGGGAGGAGTAATCGAACAATGCAAGCAAGGGTCAATGAACATGTACCCAGATGGCTTCAAAATCAGTGTGTGTCAAATGATCCGATCAATGTAGGAGGTAGAAAACCAAGTTCATCGATAGCAAAACACATAATTGAGACGGGGCACAAAATTAACATTAATACAGCATTTAGAATGTTGTATAGAAATTGTCAAGGTCGAATTCTTAAGTTTATTGAAGCCTTAGCTATTCGTAAATTTAAACCCCCCTTATGTGTACAAAAACAATTTGTCGTAACCTTGAATTTACCTTGGTAATCCTTAAGTCATTCTATGGCCTAGGATAACGCGACAATTTCTTATTCTTTCTCCCCCCTTAGTTATTTTAGTTGTACTTTTATTTGTTTGTTTGACCTTTATTAATTTTCATATAAAAATGCCTTGACAAGTATATGTGTGACCAGATTGTTCGAAATGTATAGCGCAAATACATCACATTTTTCAGATCAACTCCGTCTTCTCATTGTTCTATCAAAATTACTTTTGTCAAGAACGATACTGTTGATGTTACTTTTACTGGAATTAATCCAATTTAAGTGAAAACAGTAGTCTTGATGCATAACAAACGATCAAAACGATAAATTTAACTCAGCGAGGGAAAATGCCACTTATTTTAAATAGTGCCCGTGAATCAATTAGGATTTTTCAGAAATTCGTCATATATCAATGAAGAGTACTTAACTTTTACCATTGTTGAAAATTTCTCTCATAAAGCACAACTAAAAATTGGCTATATTCACAGTTTTGGCGATTTATTATCCTTGTGAAGTGTCACCAATTGATATGATGAACAGGAATTTAACCTAACTTTCAGGTCTCGTTTCAGTGTAGAGTGAGAGACCTATGAAACCGATGTCCTCTATTTGCTTTTGATATCGAATCATATTTATTTCCCTGTTACCAGTTCGTATGTAAGTGTATGCCAGTCATCCGGTCCCCTGATCAGTTATCGCTTGGTCACATTGTATCATTGCGTCACACCTGTCGATCTGGATTTTACTTTATTTTCAGCAATTCGAATCTCCCTGATAAAAACATTAGATAACTTGCTCAAATTTATGTTTAAATATAATAAAAATAATAACAATAGTATTAATAATAAATTTATTCGTTTTCTGATGAATTCTTAATAGGTTCACGTAAGACTTATCTGTTTTTCATGAAACGGTTGTACATAGATCTAACATAGCATTTTGTTTCTTACTTATTTGTTGGGTTGTGATCAACCAGACAAACGCAACGTAGAACCTGGTACGTGTTTACATCGCTTCAAGTTGCCATATCCCATTACAACAGAGAAATGAAATTGCGTAGACAAATTCCAGATTAGTAGACGTAGTAACTGTATTAGTGGTAATAGAAAAAAAAGTTAGGTATCAAATATACGATTCAAGGAAATATTTTGGAGAATCCAGCTTAGAATCTGGGAGAAGACAAAGAATGGATGCACCTGCCATGTCATTCAAGGTCTCTAATCACTGGTTACGATAATCACGCAAACCCAAACCAGGTGCTCTACACCTATTAGAATGGTTCAAGTCATTTGTCGATGACTTCATGAACTGGTGCCATATTTTTGTCTGGCTGCACACAGCTTTCTTATGGCCTACTCGTACACCAGACAACTCCCGTTGAGGTAGACAGTGGTTGAGAATATGTAACACTCGTCCAAGCCACCTTATTTGATAAAGATTTGCTAGCTCATTAGCCGACTTGTCATCTTTACCTAGTACCCTATTCCTTACACCAGAAATGTTTTGAAAACACCTACGAATATCCTCTCTTAATGGATATGTGGTCCTTTGTTTTTTATATTATAACATGATTATTCCGAAAATTTTTCCACATGCAATTATGATATCATTCAAATGTCTGTCAACACTACATAATAAAAAAAGCAATATTTTCAGTTTACTAGGTGAATGTCTCGGTATATATATATATAATATCCGTCTAGGGAAATTTATGTAGACACACGAACCGGAGTAATATCAGTTTAACTGAAACCATTGTTTTTAAAATAAGTTTGAAGTGATGTTGCCACTGAACATATTTATTTATTTTAACACATAGATATTGGTACAAGGAGGCACCAAATACAAATGTGCCACACAGATCTCATTTAATATATGTAAAGGCTGTTATACTGTCCGAGTGTCCAAACCGAAGCAGGTGGTTTTCTTAGGGGGTCACACCTGGAGCCGTCGACCTGAAGGTCTGATCCACAAGGCAGTGGAGCAACGTCAGGAGATTCATTCACATGGTAGCCGATGACCAACGATTGGTTCATACGCAATTTGTTCCTTCAGGATACTGGAGCCCATGTGCACTACTAGTTTGGAATGAGGGTCTTCCAACTCCCCTATGTGGACTCTCCATGTCCACCAACCCGGTTAAAGCGCCGGTCATTCGCTTTTCGTCCTTTCAATTTAGTAAACAACACCCCGCCACGAGAAGGCAGTGAGTAGGACTTCCCTGGCAGAGGCTATATACGCGTGGCCATGTGAGAATTTCGAGAGGGAGAGCAGACTCTCCCTACTCTCGGCCGTACCAGGGCATTTGGGAGCCAGTGAACTTACAAAATGGTTAATATAAGTTATGCAAAATCACGTATACTTGAGCTACTTTGCATATTGTATTTGCTAATCATCTTAACAGATATATTTCACGTAATTCTGTCTTAAACATAAAAGCCGATTAACAACTTTAAAATCCTAATTGGCAGGCTGAGGATGATGTTCTGTCAACGTGTAAAATCGCCGGCTGTCGGTAGGTACAGATTTCTTGATTGAGGTCTCTAGAATCGGTTCCTAATACTGCACCTGGATTCAGTTTCTGTATTCCAATATATTTCGAGTTGTATCATCGTATCCCTTCATTCTTTGATCTGATTTACTCAATCTGAACCATGTTTCTGAATTCAACTTTTTATTTCGGGTCTTATTTCCCCTGCTGCTTTTCACTTTATCCATTTTCTTTCTGAGGTGACGTAAGATGTGACATTTTGCATCAATACACATTCGTTTCAGGTCGTACGTCATCATCGACGGGCTGTTCTCCTAATCTTACTATTTTACTACGTAGTTTTAAATATTAGTAATGTAAAAAGTATTTTTGTTGAAGTAGATTTACATCATCTGTTTTCTGATTTAATTGATTTCTCCCTGTTTAGTCGATATCTTCTCTCAAAAAACAGAAGTCCTGTCCCTTGTTCCCTTTGAAGTCGCCTGAAGTGCTTACTCGAAAAGTTGTTGTGTTAGTCGAAGAGACTCCTGAAAGTACTAATCGTATGACACGAAGATATTCAAAGTGTGAGTTATCTGTTGTACGATTCCTATCTGTATTATGTTTAATAAGGGAAGGATATACTTCCCTTCCTCACTTAGACGGTTATGGATTTTGGACTGATGGAAGTTAACCATTACAACTGATTATGAGTTTATGTATAAATAAGCTTGATTAGATTACGTTCTTAAAGTTATACTCATGTAATTTTTCTTTTAGATAATTCCACGGTTAACGCTTTGTCTGAACAATTATCTGAATGCACCGAAGATATGTTAAAGCTGACAATTAAAAAATAACATTTCATTTTATACATCTTTTTGATTTGGACATTTGCATAACTGTATGATCACCTGCCTTCTCACCTCATGTGCCCTTTTTTTAGATAAATAAATCATCTTTTTTCAAATTACGTCGTATTGATTTTGACTTTCTAAAAACTGTACTACTCGTAACAGTTTGGTTTCACTAATTAATTTCCTAGATTTGTTCGTGTTGCTGTGAAAGTGTTGTAGTGAACGAGAATACAAGTGGGGACATTTGAATGTATTTAAACACAAACTTGCAGAACATCTTAGTAAAATCTGAGAACCATGCAGTAAATACTTAATTTGCAAAATGTCAGTCAATCGTCTCAGACGCCACTGTTCCTTCATTTCCACAGCAACCATTCTCATTCTCTTTTCTTCGATCTTCTTAACCTTCTGCTGCCAGGTATTTTACTTTCGATTGATGATACATACTACTTGTATCTGTCGACATCAGAAGCACACACCACAGTACCACATTCTCTCTTTCTGCATTGTAGCTGAATTGTCTTAGTTATGAAATCAGTCGATTTGATTAACTGCAGATTGAATCTTAGAGTTTCCGTTCAGCATATGTTTGTATTTCCGCTTGTATGATTTTGGTACACATTCAAAAATAGTTTCTGTCCAGTGATTTCAGTGTATCCGTGGTTATCATTGAGAATCATGGAATCAGTATTTTCAGTGATGTATAGACTTCATAAAGTTATGGAATATGCTAATCAGGTGCTTAATTCCTTGGAAAACAAGCATATGGGATAGCAAGTTTCGCATTGTCACATCCTTCGTCCGTCTACCCACTTACATACAAAAGAGAATTTGTCTCAATCTAGTTTAAGGCTTTGACGCGGTAGGCTGTTTAGTACAATACTGAAGCTAGCAATGCGTGAGTCTGATTGTGATTGAATGGCTTTGAGGGCGGAAAAGAGAAAACTATCCTATCACCTTATATTCTGACAAGCGAGAAAGCAAGCAAGTTGGTTGGAATATATATATATATATATATATATCCTTCTCTTGCAGCTTTTTCCTCCGTCGTTGCTAGTTCTTCCACGTATTTCTGCTTATTGGCTTTAATACTCTTCTTCACTTGTTTGTTTGCTTCTATGTATTCAGCTTGTGCTTGGACCTTCTCTGCTCGTGTTCGGCTGTTGTTAATTGCTGTCTTGTTGTTCTTCCTTCTTTGATCTTGTCCAGTGTTTCTATAGAGATCCATTCCTTATAATGATGCTTCTTGAGGCCCAGAACCTCTTGACATGTTGAAGTTAATGCTTCTTTGGTACCTTTCCAGTTGTCCTCCATAGTGGTTTCTTCTTCCTTCAGTAGATCCTGTAAGACTTGAAACCTGTTGTTGAGAGCTATCTTGAATTTATTGAGTTTGTCAGTATCTCGAAGGAAGGCTGTATTGAACCTTTGTATTGTTGTTTGTCCAGTTCTCCTTTAGCTTCAGTTTTAAATTGGCCACAACTAGGTGGTAATCTGAAGCTGTTTCAGTTACTCTCCTGGTTCTCACATCTTCCATTGTCCTTCGGAACTTTTTATTGATGCAAATATGATCTATCTGGTTCTCTGTGGTGTGGTCTGGTGAGATCCATGTAGCTTTGTGTATACGTTTGTGTGGAAATATTGTGCCGCCTATGACCAATTTGTTGAATGCACACAGATTTGCAAATCTCTCCCCATTTTCGTCCTCTCTTTCAGTCCATGTCGTCCCATGATATCTTCATATCCGGTGTTGTCTATTCCGACTTTGGCGTTTAGATCTCCCATCAGAATGGTGAGGTCCTTTCTTGGGCACTTCTCTGTGACTGATTACAGCCGCTCATAGGATCTATCTTTAATGTCGTCGTTGCTATCATTGGTGGGTGCATAACATTGA